CTAATTAGCCCTTCATTCAATTCTGAAGCTCACATACCGACCACAGGTATTTAAGAGTTAAAACTGATTATGATAAGTCAAACAAGGAATATCTGATTGAAACATAAGTTTTCTGTTTTCTAACGATGCACTTTTGATCCGTGTCTTTTCTTAGTGTAGCATCGTGCGTTCTACCAGATTATTTGATGAATAAATACCGAGCATATCCGACACGTTGGAGAATATGTAAGTGATTAATTAAATGTACCATATTATTCCATAGAGCACATTTATAACTTTGAACAGTGTTCCTTTAGACCAACAGCATGCATACGCAATTGAGTACATTATTCGTGCAGGTCATAACACGATGATTGGCCAGCGACCATACAGCAGCTTTCCAACTCCGCTGGAGATGAAATGATTTCTATCTCTAATGCCGGATCTGTCGGCATAAGTGTATAATCATAACACTTCAGTTGCAGATACGGACCGTATTGATCGTATGCTTACTAAGCTATGCTTTAAGCCCCTACGGTACGTAATATGTGCACGACTTCGTCAGAACAGAGACTATGTATCGTGGGCAACAAATTGTACAAATGTGTTTTGACAGAACCCTTACTCGTTCATACTACGGACTCTTTTATGAACAACGACTGTGAGCCGGAAAAGTCGAAAAAGGCGTTAGTTCACAGAATGACGAAACGAAGAACTGATGAAAGAGAACCAACGACGCTTTGGTGCCTGTTGAAGGCCTTAAGTGCAAGACAGCAAACGGCAGGTGATCGAGATCGAAGCTGTTGGGGGTGGCCAGAATTGCAACTTGTGCAACGTCGACCTGCATATCATTATTTATAAAAGCGGAGGAATGAGGGAGCTTTGCCACTTCACCGAAAAGGACTGAGAACTGCGGCCAAAATTTTGCCCCGTTCCCACAGAGAATTGTCATGTGAGTTTTCTGTCATTGCTCGCATAACCCAGTGTGTAAGTTTCGTTCGACTGACAGATGTAAGCAAATTATTTGGAGAGCATGGGGGAACGGGGTTTAAAGGGTGCAGCGATAAAGGAACAAAGAAAAAAAAGAAGCGAAAGAAAAATAAAAGGAAAACTGCATCAAGAGCTAGACCAAAAGTCTCGACAGCTAATGATGCTATTAACAGGATTCAGGATTGGTACTAC